AATGTATAATTGAATATATTTTTTCTGGGTCAATTATACGAGATCGATGCACCGCGAAATATTCTTGACTTTAATGGTTAAGTTATCAAGTCATTAGCTCTTGTATCACCGTCTCTTTCTCGCTTTCCCAATGGCTTCGTTTGTGCCTTCGTGTTCCCTTTCGGCTTTAGGTGGGCTACTTCGGAGAATCTGGCGACTTCCTGGCGTTCCTTCAATTTTCGGTTTTACCTGTACTTTTGTGCCCCTTTGCAGGTTTAGGTGGATCACCTGGAAGCAGCCATTTTTGGTAAAATCATCATGGGCAGTTAATCGAAGTCGAGCTTGCTGCAATTGTCGGTAGAAGGTGGTAAAATATGTTAAACGATGTTTGTCAATTTTTTTCGCGATGCGAACTGCGTCCACGGTAGCTTGATGGGAAAACTTGTTCCGTTTAAATTGATCTCTCGAGCTAGTGGCTGTGATTTTCTCGGAGGAGATGTAGGGTTTTGGAGTTTTTGTGAGGAGTTCATCGCTTTTTCAGCCGGTTCTCGGGCTGCCCAGAGTTGTAACAGATGGCAAATACATTAGCCATCTGCATCCTCGACCGGAGGTCACCCTACCCGTGAACAATCTACCAACTCATCTCTCGTTTCGCCGCGGCATCCGGTCCCTTATCCATCGCGCCGGTCGCGAACGCCCCGTACCTGAACCGAACCTGTCCGTTCAGGTACCGGAAGTTGGGACCCGGGGGAATCGACGGCGGACGTCGTCTGGAAGCGAAACTTCCTTTTCCGTATTCTCCTACGCCGCGTAGTTTCCTAGTTTCGCCGCTCCAAAGAACCGACCAATCAGAGCGCAGCATTCTTATTTCCGCTGTATCTCCGAAACTACGGGTCGTAGAGAAAAATGGTAAAGGAAATTTCGCCGTGGAATTCGGTCCCCTATCCATCGCGCCGATCGCTAACGCCCCCTACCTGAACCGAACCTGTCCGTTTAGGTACCGGAGATTGGGACCCGGGAGGATCGACGGCGGACGACATTCGGAATCGAAACTTCCTTTTCCGTTTTCTCCTACGCTGCGTAGTTTCCGAGTTACGCCCCTCTAAGGAACCGACCATTCAGAGCGCAGGATTTATTTTACTGTATATCTCCGAAATACCTAGTCCTAGAAGAACATGGCAAAGAAACCTTTGACGCGCTAGGGTTTAGGCAGTAAGGGTTTAGCCGTCTCAAGGCCGTTCCGTGTTCCGTGTTCCGTGTTCCGTGTTCCACGTTGATTCCGCTCGGTTTCCGCGTGTATGAAAATGAGATACGCATAGGTAACGTGTGTATTCTTTTGTCGACGTGACACTTTTCTGAAAACAAAGAAATCCAGTTTCCGTCACAATTTGTGAAATAATTTTGTAAAAAGTTAATTCTGTATTTTGACGTCCTGTTGTTATCCGCGTTTACGAATATGTGTGACAAGCGATTGTGTTCATGCAAGAAGAGATCTCTGTCGTCTGAAATCGACCCAAAAACGTTACAAGAACTTGAAAATCGGTTCGCAAACTTCTTAACTACAAAGAGTACCTCTTTACTGAAGAAACACCTCAGTCGTAGCACTTTTGACCGTGTAAAAACATTAAAATCAAATTATGGCTCAACCCTGCTCGAGGTCATTCAGTCGGGATTGGCCAATCCTGATTCCGGTGTCGGCCTTTATGCTCCGGATCCTGATTCTTACCGTGTCTTTTCTGATCTCTTCGACCCTGTAATCGAAGATTATCACAGCGGGTTTAAACCCAGCGATCTTCATCCTTCATTAAATTGGGGCAATACGAAGGATCTTGGAGATCTCGATCCCGAAGGAAAATACATAGTATCGACAAGGGTGCGCTGTGGAAGATCCCTCGAAGGTTACCCCTTTAACCCTACGATGACGGATTCGCATTATTACGAAATTCAGAATAAAGTCAGTTTCTTATTTAAATAACTAAATACTAATTAAGAAGTGTATACATTAGGTGTATGCAAAAGTTTCTTTTCATTTTCTCTAATTTAGTTACTGTAGGTAAATTTAGAAATTTTTCAGGATGATACTAGATTTTCTGTAATAATAATACTATTTTTTAATACGTTAATCTCCAAAATTTGTAGAATGGGAAGAATTTCGAAAATGGTTTGCCAGTATTGATATATTATTCCCACTTATATCTCATTTCATTTGATATTAGATTAAATCTGCATTTGGTGCAACCTACTTATTTTTATTTCACTGTTTTACACACCGAGTACATTCTTGTCTTATCTAAGGTCCGAGATGCACTCGAGTCAATGACGGGCGAATTAAAAGGTAGGTACTATCCCTTAGAAGGTATGGACAGCACTACTCAGCAAAGACTCGTGGACGAGCACTTTCTTTTCAAGGAGGGAGATCGCTTTTTGCAAGCTGCAAATGCTTATCGTTTCTGGCCAACTGGTAACTATGTCACTTACTGTTAGCTACTTGCCAGAGGGCAGCTATCGAATTACACTAATATTTCGTTTCCACAACGTGGTTAAGTAACGAAAGCGTTTCTTTTTACATGATTTTATAGGAAGAGGGATATTTTTTAATGAGGTGCGAACTTTTCTCGTTTGGTGCAACGAAGAGGATCACATGCGAATAATATCAATGCAGTCGGGTGGTAATTTAGCACAAGTTTATGGAAGATTGGTTAATGCGGTTGAACAAATTGAAAGAAAAATTCCCTTTTCTCGCCACGAACGGCTGGGGTTTCTCACATTTTGTCCAACTAACCTTGGAACGACGATACGTGCCTCGGTGCACATTAAAGTTCCCAACCTCTCCGTCGATTATACAAAGTTTGAACAATTCGCAGCTACGTATAATCTTCAAGTAAGAGAATTGAATTATGAAAAATATGTACAACTATAGGAAAAACATAAGAAAGAACTTATTCAGAGATAGAAAAACAAGCTACTAGTTGGTGCGCGAATAATTCATTCATTAAGAAATTAATCGTAAAGGAAGCGATATATATATTTCTGTTCAAAACAGAAATTATTATCAATGCGTAAAGATTATTCAGAAATGTGTCTTTTTGGCAATTATTCAATTTCTGGAAACTGAATTATATTTCACTGGGAAAAAATACAGCTGGGTTCCCAGGCACCGCTGAATGAATAGTAAACGAAAATACTCGTATATGTTATGTATGTACTGAGTACTGAGTAGTATTTTGTGTCGACTTTCACGTATATTTTCGTAAATATATCAGTCTGTATATACTGTGACGAATGACATTAACGAGCCCGCAGCGCCTGGACGATCGCTCATCACCTTCGCCCGATCGTCTGGACGGATCCGTTCGAACCACACAAAAATTTCCCGATTTCGGGAACGAGACACAAAGTTGGGCGCCAGACCTCCCCAGAGACCAAAGAAACAAAATCTCAACTCTCAACAATCTCAGAAACGCAAAACTCGAAGAAAAATCAAAATACTAGGCTCGAACGACCTCCGCCTCGACGATCGTCGCGGTGCGGCCGACTAGCACAGAGCGCACGCGCCAGGTTCGGAGAGGATGGGGTAAGACCAGACTACGGGATTCGGAATACTCAAAGAATTGCAAGAAAATTTGGAAGAAGTCAGCCCAAAAAATCAAAAACGGAAATCAAGAAAATTAACAGATTTATTCGATTTAAAAGAATTAGAAAAATCACTTGTCGAACAATTTGGATGGCGAATAACAGATAATTACAAAGGAACCGTCAGGGTCCGTCTACGGCCCGCCCCCGCAGGCAAGGCCACCAGGGGGTATAGGGAGCCGACACAACCCTCCGGGTGAAACCGACGGGCTGGCCGTGGCACCGCAGTCGATATTGCCAGTCCTGGTCTTGCTCCTCGTGGACTTCTTCGATGGTTTCTTCTTACAGCCGGGGCGACGAGCGGTAGCGCATGCGCGCAACCTCCGAGAGATCGACGGTGTTGATACTCCGGCCTGATGACCGAAGCCTCGCTCGCATTACAGAAATTTTGCGAGCTCTCGAACACTTCGCCAAATATTCATTCCAAATATTCCTGCGAGTGCTCGAGAGCACGCCCGGGAACTCAGACAATTACGGATGATTCCCTTACAGAAAATTGGGAGAGTTCCCGTTGATTGCTAAATTAACTTGCAACAAAAGACGCAACTAAAATTAATTAACTATGGGTGTGCTTTCCCTTTCCCCCGGATCGGTGACCGTCGGACCTTGAATCCTGTAATTTGCGAAAAAGCAACCATCGGCAAAATGTTTGGGGCCATCGTGACGCGGCAAAAATTTACCACGTCACTGTTACGGTGAATGACCGAAATCTGGAGAATGTCGACTTTCACCGGTGAATGTCAACATTCACATAGTCGCTTCGTGTATGTCCGAAATATTTTCTAAATACCCTTATTTCTGACTTACACCGGTAAATGTTGACATTCACCATGCACTAATACCTGTGATTGTCGACACACACTGGAGAGGGTCCGAATGTACAACAATGTAATGAAATGTTCGATCTTTCACCGACGTATTTTGTATCTGTTGACATTCACCGGTGAAAGTCGACATTCTCCAATTTCGGTTATTCATCGTAACAACAACTACATTTTTATAAGTCCGTGAAAGCTGAATACAAACTATTAATCTAAATATGATCTATGAATTTAACGTTTTCCAATAATTTAGATATCTATATAGATTATTTAAACTTCTATGATATATGTACTGTAAATATAGGTGTGAAAAAGATTTACATATATATTCACGGAACATTTTTATTATGCATATCATAAGATGTAAGTTTTCTATACTTATATCTTAATTTCTATGTACCATATAAGTATATTATACCTCATACGGTGTCTGATAATGCATCATAATTTACATTGTGGTTAACAATCATGGATGTGCCAAGGAGGAAGTAAAAAAAAATCATCGTATGGACGTAATTAACAGTTTTATTAAGTTGGAATTTAGATATAAACATTAAGTATGTATTCAATATGTTAGGTTGCATGAGATGTCTTTACTTTTCTAAATGTATTATCGACGCTGTTGATCGACCATTGGTAGATGCCTACCAGAGCTACTATATATTTTTTATACGTCAAGAAATGAGTAGATATATATAGATTAAAAGTCAATATATAAGTTTCATCTACAAGAGATATACATATTTATATATGTCGTTTAGATATCTATGATATATATTGTGTAGCTATGTACATAAAATAGATCTATATATATTTACAAAAGACATTTATTTTAGATGAATGATAGACGATATACATTTGCTATACCTATTGACCTAACTCAGACGAGTAATATGCGTATATTATTCTTCGAGCGGTGCCTGGGTTATTAAACACTGAATTAACTAACTGCAAAATCCTTCAATAAGTAACTAAAGTAGTTAAACAATTGCTCAAATACTGAGGATTCCTAATCGTAGACTGTTATGATATAAATCATATGTATAGTGGGTTTGTTACATAAATTGAAAAACGAAATACGTCAAGTAAGGATGAAACGGAATTTCGGTTGCAGGTAAGAGGTACTCGGGGTGAACACACTGAAGGTACAGGTGGTATTTATGACATTAGTAACAAACGACGTCTCGGTCTCACAGAGTTCGAAGCATTGCAAGAAATGAAAACCGGAGTTTTGGCGATTATTCAGCAAGAAGTGAATTTGGAATCAATCGAACGTTCATAATGTTTCATTGCACTTCGTGTAATCCATGTGCACCAATGTTCTTTATTTGAGTCCATCTTCCTCCCCCCCCCCCCCATCCCAAGAAATATTACGAACATCAGTAGAAGATGACTGCATGGAGTTCTAAAAAATAAAATCAACGATTTCGACATCTCTTCGATGAGTAGATATGACATTCAAATCTGTTTTCTACGAAATTTTCTGCATTTTCCAAAGTAATCGTGTTATGGTAATTGACAAAATTTACTGAAATGCCATAATATAGGGTTTGTCCGGTTAATAAGATGAGATGTTATTACATAGGATTATTGAAAAACCAATTATCGTTTATGTGTTTATTGTACATACTGTGACGTGGCAGTATTCTACCACGGCACGCGAGGGTGGAATCTAGGCGTAAAGTACAAATTTTGGTGAAATTTGGAATTCATTATCGACCCGTGGCACTCAGGGCCTCTGGCGACAGTTTAGGTGCCATAAACATCACGCCGGCGAGGGAGGCTCTTTAGTTTACTACAGGTATGTACATACGAGCCCCCCGCCCGGTCGGATGGCCGATCTTCCTTGTTCTCGCGGATTTCAGACTCTGAACGGCGTTCTCACTTCCACTCGATTGCTCTCCAACCTGCTGTGGTTTTCCTCTTTCGTAACGGAACGATGATTACGGGTTTGCAATGAACGGGGAATAATGTAGTTAATACATCGAGGAAAAAAATCTTTTCGTAGAAATTATTTCTCTAAATGGAGTTAAAGAAACTGTAGCACAAAATCAAAGAAATATAGTCCTCACTCAAAAATGCCGAACATTTAATTCTGGTGCACTGCAATAAAAAAGTGCATGTAAGACATAAATATATAAATTGTAAAAGTATATGATTTAGGTTCTACGTTCGAAAGTAGATACAATAAAAAATGTCTCGAGACATTTTATTCATTAACAAGTAATACACTAATGTTGTTAAATTAATGTAATATGTATACTTTGATTTAATAGACGAACAGTTGAACTGTTAAGAAATTGACAAATATTTCAGAGTAACATTTTATTACTTTGGTTTAATTTTATTTGCTTTTAAATGTTGAGTTTCTTTGTAAAAAAAATTTTATCGCACTCGGCAATTCACATTTTGCGCTGCTTTCACCGTTGGTATTCTGTGCGGCCGGTGATGGCAGCATATCCGCAAGGAAGCCAGTCTCAATGGGTGCATTCGGAAGAGAAAAGCGGTTACCGATGAGTTGGGAACATGTTGCGATTTTCTGCCGAATGGACTATTCAGTGATCATAATATGGCGGCATCCAGTGTTNAAAACACTCACATGTTCATACTAACTTAATTATTTATTTATTATTAGTTTTTTGGTCTATATTAGGAAGGTAGAATACATTAGATTAAGGTTAAGTATACATTTCGAAATAACGTACCATTTTATAACATTTTATGCACCTCTGCACTCTCTACTACATCGTACGGAAGATCGTTTACTTCATACATTTCATTGTAATAATTGATTTCATTTGCCATCCTTGCTTCTTAAACTTGAATCTACACGGTTTGAATTTGAATTTGATCTACCCAACACATTGAGCGTAGGTAGCGTTGAAAATTTGTGATACATAAAATGGCATCTGATCAGTAAACATGTTGAGTGAACGTACCCATTCAGCAGATGAGCGCTCACCGATCACTCAACAGTTGTCTCCGCTGAATGCACACAATCTTTGACTATAATAGTATGGAATGCTAGTTGTCAACTTCACACAGGTTACCAGGATATCAGAGCCATCGTGGACAAAGAATTCAGAAGTCTCCATAGAAGCCCAGAAGGACACGGACGTTCGATGCTCGATAAATAGTATGTTAGCCAACGGATGCCGGCGCTGTAATCATCTCTCCATCTCTCTTAATCTTATGGCGATATATAGCGATTGCATTCTTTCTTTATCTTACACCCAATACTCGCCTTTCTATATGCGTCTCTCTTCCTCCCGTACGTGAGATATCGTTGGCTAACACGTGCGATCTCTCTTTTACCCCCACTTCTGGTTTGTTAGCCAACTTTTAGAGCATCAAGCGCTAACATAGGATCTGGGATTCTATAGGACTTCTAAATTCTTTGTCGTGGACCAAGAATTAATGATTTCGTATACCTTTGTATATCCCAGAGCTCTAATTTAAATTCTCAACGAAATAACGAATCCCGTGAACTCGTGTAATGTTTACTTGAAACGCAACTCTTTTGCTCTAAATCGCATGTTAGCTATGGAACAAGCCAGCATTGTCTTGCAATCGTTCGTAAAAATATTTTCCATATTCCCCCATCTCGATTTGTAATATCCCATTTTTATAGTATTCTACATTGTTCAAGCTAGATCCTGAAACTCTTCATTTTTGAGTCTGTCTTCAAAAAGCGTAAAACATCAGAAACGTGCACGAACGACGCCATGCTGATTCTAGTTCATAATAAATAACATTGAAATAAAAAATGAAATTTCGTGAGTTTTAGGACCTACCTTAAGATCTTCCTATTCACGTGGTAAAATTCTAATCGTATCGGTATATCCAGTTCGGAGAATACTTTCACGAACGATTTGACCTCTCATATATATATATATATTATAGGCTGATCTTTTTGTATGACCTTAGACACTAGACTAGAGATGTAGGAATAATATACATATGTATTTCAAGCACATTGAATTGTCCAATAACTGTTATTTTACAAATAAATATTCAAACCTGTCAGAGTAGACATTTATTCTACTCCTATTTCAAAATAAAATGGAATGATCTACACTTATTATCCTATGTCTTGGCATTGCACCGCGGTCGTACGAATCATTCTGTAGCGATGTTCTTGCCCGTTTCTCTATGCTTAGTTTTATTCATATTTTTGCCAAAAAAAAGCTACAATGATACTTTATCGTAACAGTATTCCAAAAAAACAATTCTTAATATCAGTTTTAAGAGGTCATGTTATTAAATCTAATTGTAACAAGAGGAGATACTTAAATGCATTCACAAAAAGTTCACTACCTCGAATCCTGATATGGAAAATACGTATTATTATTATTTTAAATATCACAAATAATCTACCACTTTAAGTAGATCATTCAGAATTACGTTTGTGGTCTTGATGGTTTTTCGTGTTGTTCTCTCGCCTCCGTGATTGATCACATTCAATGTTGTTTACAAAGATGGCCTCAAAATATTGGACTCACAAGGTTAATAAATTAGAAGCGTATAATTGACACCGCAATGATACGGGAATGTCACCGACTAGATAACAATCCAATTAATGCTTGTTTCTCTTTTTCTTTTTTCCGTACTGTGTCCAAGTTTCTTTGCTTCCAAGAGCTTTTACGCAATTTTATCGGTCGAGAGCCAACATACTTTCCTAAAATATTAAATATTTCATTCTTGTTCAGGGATCCGAGGAGAGAGTGGATAACTAGTATTTTACTTAAAAATAATTAAATAATACATTATATTTCTTACCGTTCATCTCCTTCATTGCTTTAATAAAGTCCTGGGGATCTTTGAAGGAAACAAAACCAAAACCTTTAGTTTTATTAGTTCGTTTATCTCTAACAACTTTTGCCTTCTGAAAGCTTGGATACTTGCCGAAAACCCTTATTAACATCTCATCAGTAACATCATTTCCCAAATCTCCACAGAATATTCTAAAGTCGTCTATAAAAAAAACCAAAAAGATGTCGAAATAATTTCAATGACAACTATTTTATGAAGAAACAATCAAAAACTTTTGACAAATTAATATTTAATTTGAAACATTACCTTCATCCCACTCAAGAAGTGAAGGATCTTCCCATGTTTGGCCACCAGCCATTCTAATAATTTTTTTATTTTTCTTTCCTCTACCTTTCGGATGCGTCTCTTCAGCACTAGCATTAGCCATAATTGAGCTAGCTTTTCCCTGACTAATGGCTAATTCAGCAGCTGTACTTACACCTTTTATTTTTGGTTTCCTTTTCCCTTCATCGTCTGGTATTTTAGTATTAATGATTTGTTCTATAATTTCAGGGTGGATGATAGGAGCTGAAGTAGAGTCGTATGATTTTGGGTTTCCACTTAGGCAAGGTTCTGCCATCGATGGCATATATGGATTACTTATTTGGGCTGGCGAAGAGTAAGTCGTAATAGGAACAGGTCCTACAATGACAATAAATTAAAACAAAATTAATTTTTATAGAAACAGAATAGAACAATGCTTAAAAATGCTTGAACAACTTGCCTTGTCTGGTTACTTGTGGTGGAATTAACATGGGTGGTGGTGGAGGCGGCGGTGGTGGCGGTGGCGGTGGTGGAGGTGGTGGAGGAAATCCCATCATCGGTGAAAATGCAAGTGTTGCTGCAGCAGCGGCTACAGCCGGCGTTGGCAATTCCTGTTGCTCTAACTGTCTAGCAACTTGATTATATGTGTCAGAACCGATGACAGGTCTAACAATCGGTGAAATTAATTGACCTCCGATTTCCGCCTCAAACCTGAAAACAGAATTATTAATTAGAATAACCTTTAACCCTTTGCAGTTGCATTTTCCTAAGATCAAGAGAATTTTGGTGGCTGAGAGTAGACATACGACCGCAAAGGGTTAACTGTCTGAATGCCAGAGATCGTTGGAAAAATGGTACTGAATGTATTTTCACACAATATAATATAGCATTCATTTAATGTGATTTCAAAAAATGCTAAGCACTATGATCACGCTTCTTGAAATATCCAATGAATTTTAGGAAACTATTAGAATAACGGCAATAAAGCAATTAGAATTTACATAAAATATTATTTTTGAAATAGAATATGAATGGTTGTAAGAGTAGAAAAAGTTAACTATTAATTCTGAAAAAGGGATATTTAACTCAATGAAATTACCGGGATGGAATTTAAGAGAATGCATGGTTTGTTGTAATAAAACGAATAGTATGAAAAGATTAAATTTAATTTATATACCGTGCAAAAAAAGGATTCATCTATTACGTTCTGACATATATTTTTCAACAATAATAGTTAATAATAGTTAAACATTTTTATGTAATATATATGATATTTTACATTTTATATTCTCAAAACTATCGCCTGGTGCTTTTTCACTAAATAAAAGTGTTTATAAATAGCAGTAAATAAAGTAAAAATTGTTTATATATATGATTTTCATTCAATTTAAAAAGAAAAGACTAGAAAAGGAAGCTTCAGGACTAATGACATGCAGCAACAGAATCTAAATGCATCATAAATTACACATTAAGACTTGATACAGAAGTACTTTCTGAAAAAAATTTGGACTGCTCGATCACATTGCATAGCGCTCAACCAGTTAAATTGCTATTGAAGATTTTTGGTATCCAACACAGATTAGACATCATAAAAGTCATCAAGATATTCGTCTCTGTTTAAGTAATACTACATAATTTAACATAGAATATGAAAATAAAAATATCAAAAACATGGATATAGAAACAAAAAAAATATAAATCTATTAAATACCTGTTCATTTCATCTTCCATTTGTCTCAATTTATCCTCCATACTGATTATATATATTATAGGCTGATCTTTTTGTATGACCTTAGACACTAGACTAGAGATGTAGGAATAATATACATATGTATTTCAAGCACATTGAATTGTCCAATAACTGTTATTTTACAAATAAATATTCAAACCTGTCAGAGTAGACATTTATTCTACTCCTATTTCAAAATAAAATGGAATGATCTACACTTATTATCCTATGTCTTGGCATTGCACCGCGGTCGTACGAATCATTCTGTAGCGATGTTCTTGCCCGTTTCTCTATGCTTAGTTTTATTCATATTTTTGCCAAAAAAAAGCTACAATGATACTTTATCGTAACAGTATTCCAAAAAAACAATTCTTAATATCAGTTTTAAGAGGTCATGTTATTAAATCTAATTGTAACAAGAGGAGATACTTAAATGCATTCACAAAAAGTTCACTACCTCGAATCCTGATATGGAAAATACGTATTATTATTATTTTAAATATCACAAATAATCTACCACTTTAAGTAGATCATTCAGAATTACGTTTGTGGTCTTGATGGTTTTTCGTGTTGTTCTCTCGCCTCCGTGATTGATCACATTCAATGTTGTTTACAAAGATGGCCTCAAAATATTGGACTCACAAGGTTAATAAATTAGAAGCGTATAATTGACACCGCAATGATACGGGAATGTCACCGACTAGATAACAATCCAATTAATGCTTGTTTCTCTTTTTCTTTTTTCCGTACTGTGTCCAAGTTTCTTTGCTTCCAAGAGCTTTTACGCAATTTTATCGGTCGAGAGCCAACATACTTTCCTAAAATATTAAATATTTCATTCTTGTTCAGGGATCCGAGGAGAGAGTGGATAACTAGTATTTTACTTAAAAATAATTAAATAATACATTATATTTCTTACCGTTCATCTCCTTCATTGCTTTAATAAAGTCCTGGGGATCTTTGAAGGAAACAAAACCAAAACCTTTAGTTTTATTAGTTCGTTTATCTCTAACAACTTTTGCCTTCTGAAAGCTTGGATACTTGCCGAAAACCCTTATTAACATCTCATCAGTAACATCATTTCCCAAATCTCCACAGAATATTCTAAAGTCGTCTATAAAAAAAACCAAAAAGATGTCGAAATAATTTCAATGACAACTATTTTATGAAGAAACAATCAAAAACTTTTGACAAATTAATATTTAATTTGAAACATTACCTTCATCCCACTCAAGAAGTGAAGGATCTTCCCATGTTTGGCCACCAGCCATTCTAATAATTTTTTTATTTTTCTTTCCTCTACCTTTCGGATGCGTCTCTTCAGCACTAGCATTAGCCATAATTGAGCTAGCTTTTCCCTGACTAATGGCTAATTCAGCAGCTGTACTTACACCTTTTATTTTTGGTTTCCTTTTCCCTTCATCGTCTGGTATTTTAGTATTAATGATTTGTTCTATAATTTCAGGGTGGATGATAGGAGCTGAAGTAGAGTCGTATGATTTTGGGTTTCCACTTAGGCAAGGTTCTGCCATCGATGGCATATATGGATTACTTATTTGGGCTGGCGAAGAGTAAGTCGTAATAGGAACAGGTCCTACAATGACAATAAATTAAAACAAAATTAATTTTTATAGAAACAGAATAGAACAATGCTTAAAAATGCTTGAACAACTTGCCTTGTCTGGTTACTTGTGGTGGAATTAACATGGGTGGTGGTGGAGGCGGCGGTGGTGGCGGTGGCGGTGGTGGAGGTGGTGGAGGAAATCCCATCATCGGTGAAAATGCAAGTGTTGCTGCAGCAGCGGCTACAGCCGGCGTTGGCAATTCCTGTTGCTCTAACTGTCTAGCAACTTGATTATATGTGTCAGAACCGATGACAGGTCTAACAATCGGTGAAATTAATTGACCTCCGATTTCCGCCTCAAACCTGAAAACAGAATTATTAATTAGAATAACCTTTAACCCTTTGCAGTTGCATTTTCCTAAGATCAAGAGAATTTTGGTGGCTGAGAGTAGACATACGACCGCAAAGGGTTAACTGTCTGAATGCCAGAGATCGTTGGAAAAATGGTACTGAATGTATTTTCACACAATATAATATAGCATTCATTTAATGTGATTTCAAAAAATGCTAAGCACTATGATCACGCTTCTTGAAATATCCAATGAATTTTAGGAAACTATTAGAATAACGGCAATAAAGCAATTAGAATTTACATAAAATATTATTTTTGAAATAGAATATGAATGGTTGTAAGAGTAGAAAAAGTTAACTATTAATTCTGAAAAAGGGATATTTAACTCAATGAAATTACCGGGATGGAATTTAAGAGAATGCATGGTTTGTTGTAATAAAACGAATAGTATGAAAAGATTAAATTTAATTTATATACCGTGCAAAAAAAGGATTCATCTATTACGTTCTGACATATATTTTTCAACAATAATAGTTAATAATAGTTAAACATTTTTATGTAATATATATGATATTTTACATTTTATATTCTCAAAACTATCGCCTGGTGCTTTTTCACTAAATAAAAGTGTTTATAAATAGCAGTAAATAAAGTAAAAATTGTTTATATATATGATTTTCATTCAATTTAAAAAGAAAAGACTAGAAAAGGAAGCTTCAGGACTAATGACATGCAGCAACAGAATCTAAATGCATCATAAATTACACATTAAGACTTGATACAGAAGTACTTTCTGAAAAAAATTTGGACTGCTCGATCACATTGCATAGCGCTCAACCAGTTAAATTGCTATTGAAGATTTTTGGTATCCAACACAGATTAGACATCATAAAAGTCATCAAGATATTCGTCTCTGTTTAAGTAATACTACATAATTTAACATAGAATATGAAAATAAAAATATCAAAAACATGGATATAGAAACAAAAAAAATATAAATCTATTAAATACCTGTTCATTTCATCTTCCATTTGTCTCAATTTATCCTCCATACTGATATACTTATGACAATGTTAATAAAACGAAAAATTAATTAACTTTAACGACAAATCGTTCGTCACTGAGGTTATAGAGCATAACCAAAAAATACACAAGTCTCCATAGAAGCCTAGACGTTTATTACGTATTTTTGACGAGAGCGCTCACTTTTCGCACTTTCATCTCACGTGGGTTTGTTCGCCTAATTACGTATTCGCTATATGAAAGAACGAGATCACTAGCACTTCCAGTCTAGTAATATTTCAAATAAAGGTACATACGTTGTAAATCGTAAATTGTTGAGAGGTAATGGATTATAGGTAGGAAAGGCGGGAAGACGGAAAGCCGTTAAAAGTAAAGAAGGAAACTCAAGTCTATCTATATTTTTTAAATATGTATCACATTCATATTTACATGTACTATAATTAGAAGTTCAACAATATAATTTTCTTATCATGTCATGTAAGCATCAATTATTTAACATTTTTCAATGTTTAATAATGTAATATAACCTCGCAATAACAAAAACTAACCTGTACATCCAAGCAAATTCTCTTTCTTCTAACGAAAATGGGTCTAAGGCATCACGTAATTCCCTTCTTCTTCTAATAAAGTTATTATTACGTCCCCGAATACGATGGTTGCCAAAAATCAAGACACTCAGGAGGTTCTCCATTTTGAATTTCGGTGTCACAATCCGTGGAAGATGGCGATCACGGTGCTTATTTTTCTATCTTTTCTTGTATGCTTCACCATTTCGCCTAAACATTTGTGCAGAGCCAGTTCATATGAATGGTCTTGCATTTTCACCATAAAAAACGTTCCATGCGTAAATCAAGTAGTTTACCGTAGAAAACCAGGAGAAAACGTTTCAAATATGGCGGGCAAGGCAGACATAGCGCATGCAGTATCCGTTAGGTTATAAACATCCATCTTGTCCATTTGTTTCATCCCATAATTTACTTTTAGTCTTCCGCCTGTATACATTTTGATACAAATATTGGTTACGAATCTTACGACTTCAAATAGCCGTTATCAGCCGTTATAAACAAACGTCAAATGCATGTATATGCATACATTTGAAATTTCCAAGGCTGCGTAAAGCACAATCCCCTTAATTGTCAATGAATATCTATCTTAGAGGTAAATAGGTGGACCCTCATTGGCTATTGACGATATTGCGCATGCGCTTTGCACATTTAGTTTGGGGTAATATACTTCGTGTCTACGTAGAAAACTAGGGACGTATAATACGTTGTAATATACGTATAGTAAGCCACGTATATTACTTGACGTATTATACTTACCCAACCCTGCTTAATACTGTAACAACAGAGATGAGTTGGGAGATTGTTCACGGGTAGGGTCGCGCGATCGCATTCTGTGCTGCCCTCTGGTTTCGTACGTTATATTTCACCGTTTTTTGCCCCCAAGGGCGGCGCAACGAATTTCTGGTAGGGACTCGCGCACTTGTGGGGTTGTCGGATATATTCTCCTACTATTATGGCTGGGGGAATAATGATCCACACAGTTAATCGATAATTAATACTTTCTAATATCACAAAAGGAGCGAGGCTCCACGCGCACGCGGGGACCGGTCACAAGCTCCAAGGGCGAGTTTCAGTTTTTGCGCCTAGTCTCTCCGTTGGGGTCGTGAGTTCGGTAATGCGCACTAGGGGTAACGCGGGTTGCACCGGACTGAACGCACCGCGCTCGTCGCGCGCGAGCCCCTGGTGGCCAATGGCCGGACTTCGTCTGGGGCCCGCCACAATCGCGCGACCCTGCCCGTGAGCAATTTCCCACCTCATCTTTGGTCTATATAGTCGGTCGGGTCGATGCCAATGAACGAAACGTGGCTTCTGCTGACGTGTCGTCGGTACACCACGTGGAGACGCCCCGGACACGTCTAGTTGCGTCGCGTCGTTTCGGCTCCTCGAATTGATTCGTCAGAAGTTGCGCGAATGAGGTGATATAAAAACGAGATCTTCGATACTCAACCAATATTTTTCTTAAAAGTTCCACGATTAATTAATTGATTCTTTACCTCGATTCGCTTTGACGAGAAAACGTTCTTCGTAAATCAGCCCACATCGAATGCCCACGGTGAATCCTTCCTTCGCTACATCACTTGCCGAATAACTTTCAAACAGAATGGTAAGAAATCTCATGAATGGCGTAAAAAATGTTAATTATGATGTTTAGTTATTTCGTTTCCGGAAATCTTCAAGGCCTCTTCAAAGTTAATACATATAATTTTGAGAATCCATGGGTGAAGTTTCATTGTTAAGTATTCTAACCTCTTTTACAAAATGTTCATCTTATTGAAGTAGCTCCATACATTTTTGGTAATATCCATATAATAAGTAATTGTTAATGTAAATTGGATTTTTGTACATTTTGATATTTTTATATTATTGCATTCAAGAGAAGGATATCAAAGTTTCTTTTATTGTTTACATATGTTTATTTAGCTGCTCCTGGATTAAAAAATACATTGAACCAATGTAATTTGTAAAATAGAACCAAAGTTAGTCCCGGCATTATTTTGTTTAATAATTACAAACAGGAACCTGTTAATAGTGAATGTTTCTACCATGTAATTAAATTATAGAGTATTCACTCTATTTAAAAAATGTATCTAAAAAAATTTTAATGGTCTTTAGCCAGCTCCACCCAGCTCGACATCAGTAGGCACAGGTGGTCGCTCACCGAGTAAAGTAATTGCACCTCGTACCAGTGGCACTGGGAGTGTCAGGCAAAGAAAGACGACGTTAGCAACGTCTGCTAGAAACCGAACTACCGGTACTGGTTCTGGTGGAATGTGGAGGTTTTACACGGACGACTCTCCTGGCATTAAGGTGTACGTATTCATTCATTTGTACTATGGATGTAATTAAATTTTAAGATTTCGGAGTGCTTCATTTGAAAGAGCTACCATTCTGATACATATGTTATTCTTACAGTGGTCCAGTACCAGTTTTAGTAATGTCCCTCCTATTCATCGCTTCTGTATTTATGCTTCATATTTGGGGTAAATACACTCGTTCGTAAAGTTGGATCGGCGTTTTAAATACATCATTGGAAAATTGTATGCGACTCAACAGCTGTGGTTAGACACAACCAATTTGCATGGAAAACCAAGAAACAATTTTCATTCTCGGAAATAGTTTATTATTTAACTTGTATTATATTCCAGATAGATGTATAAGGATGAAAATAATTAGGTTATTTACTATCTTAGAGGGTCTGTGATGACATTTTGTACAGTGATACACATTATTGCATTTTGTCTCAATTAAACAGCAAACAACATAATTTTTTCCTTTAATACTAAATGTTCTTTAAAGAAGTTGATACTGCAATTAAGGTGAAGTGAAACACGTTGATAAATTCACTGACGACGGTAAAAAAGATTCTTCTAAATACCTACATTACCGTTGTTCATATTTATATTGACAGCTTTGTCGAATTATATTGGGTAATGCACTAAATAATATACTTCATAAGATGTTTCTGTATAATAATTACAAAATCAAAGTAAAGTTCCAGAAATCCCCTGGATTTGTGGTTTTTGAGGTTCTAATGGACTACAGAGACCACCCTGCACCATCTCTGATTTCCATGTGTGCTAACTAAATTTTCTTTCCGAGACCTCATGTTACCATCGTTTTAACATGCAGGCGTATAAGACACTTTTTTGCCTTTATCCCGTTCAAACGCGAGTTTCTCAATTACCAGTGTTCTGAATTGTACAATTGTCCTGACACTTTCGTTTCTCGTACCAGAGCATTCAATAATTGTATATCGATCGAAATATGAGAGCTCGACGCCATTTTAGTACTGATCTGGGCAAAGTAAAGAAATTGCATTTCGAAAATCCAAATTTTTGAAGTGCCAGGATAATTCATGGTTGCTCATGAGTCATGTGTCAAAGTTTCAGATAGTTCGGTCCAATACCCTTAAAGGAAAGTGTCTTATTCTACTGTCTTTAGGGGGGTTCCACTTCACCTTAGTCCTTTAGTAACCCTGAATCCGCCACCTTGAATAATGACGTCAATCAAGGAAATCGCATGAAATTCCCAGCCAGTATTTTTTCGAAACAATTGACATTTCCGGGCAAAAACTAGCATTCGAAGAAACTAGATATTTATAAAATGTATCAGTGGGTCAGTTTTTGACGGATCATGCACTAAGAAATGAGATAATACTTTCTGAAAATCGACCTGTCAAGGCCAATGACAATGCAGGACAATAATAACAAGGTAGACACGATATCATCACAAACACGGACCGACTGACACATTTTACACATTCACTTATTATTTGGTCACCGACAACTTGGCGAAAAAAAAAAAGATAATTGGCAAGAATACCCGGAGACGAATTTCATGCGATTTCCTTGTCTCTGACGGCATAATTCAAGATGGCCGACTTGCGGTTACAGAGCCCTAATGTCTATGAAATTCTATGCATGGACGTATAATATATGGACCGCTCATTGAGTGACGCTCCCAGAATGGTGAGAGAAAGAGAACTACGGTAATCGAGTCTACGCTTCTCTGTGCTGGTCGCATACGCAGTAAGTTCTTGAGTTGGTTTACAGCAATGTACACATTCACATACGCAAATTACTTCAATGCGCACCCCTGTTGCACAGACAAGCGTCGACCCGAAAGCCACCGTTCTGTTAGACCCATTCAGAGCCATATTCAAATATAGGGAGCGAGCGGTCCATATATTGTACGCTCATGATTCTATGCAATTTGTCCTAGCCTAAGTCACTCATGGTTGGACACTCGATTCTTGAGGCCAAATATAAAAAATTTGCATCGACAGAAAACAAACCGATCCTTAGAATCCTAAGGTCAGTTCCACAACCAAGGTTAACTCGAGTTGTGGGGTTAACTGGTTAACAGTAGATTGAAACTGAATATAAATTAGTTAAACTTCGATTAACTCGAGTTGTGGAATCGGGCTTAAGAGATAGTAAAATCGTTTCATAAAATTTATATAATGCTGCCTGAATTTAACCATAAAATTTGAAACCTTAACACATTTTCATTGCATTTTCCATCTTGCGTCTACAAAGTCCTGAATTTGATCTTATGAGTACAATGATAAGATCGATTAACACATCGAGGAACTGCAAGAGATGTGTGTAAAAACTCTATATATTGAGGCGTACTACTTGATAAATAAACTTCTTGTGTATTTAGCTTGTGTTATGTACATGCCTGTGTATACTTAACGAAAATTAAGGTAATCTCTTGTTATACATGAATTGAAAAATATACAAACCTTGTATCACGCGTAGACTGCTCTATTTTCCTACGTTCTCCTGTGCACATCCTACTGATTCTCTTTTTTTTCGTAATTGACTCAATAAAAAATAAATACAGATAAAAATTAATAGATCAAGATTTAAGCACTACAGTGATTGAAAAAATACGCTAATATAATATGTACAAGTAAAACTTAAGTCGACCTCAAAATATTTCCATCGTAAAAAGTTACTGAAATGAACACATGTGCATTTTTAATTTAGCTCGATTCGGAATAATCCAAAATAAAGTCATATCCTGATTGAAATGGAAATATGGTTTGTTAAAGCCCCAGTAACTATAAGTTGGCCATTTTGAATCGGTCGCGTCAGAAGTGATGAAATCGCATAAAAATTCCTAGCCATTATTTGTCGAAATGGATGACATTTTTCAGCACAGGAAGAAACTAGATATTCACGAAATGTGACGAATGGTCAGCCTTTGACGGATCATGGACTAGGAACAGAGATGAGTTGGGAGATTGCTCATGGACGTAGGATACATGAACTTAATGAAGAATATGGTTGATATTCTTGTGAATGCAATAAGATTAAGAGAGGGCGAACAAGGGACGATCCTTTCTCTTTTTCTCTCTTGCTATCGGATAGCCTATCGCCAAATTGCGCAACGCAGCTATTTTGGAAAATCAGAGGGAAAAAGAGAGAAAGAAAGTGTCCCGTTATCTTTTTACCGTTTCAGTCGAATGGGCAAATTCGAGTATTCGAGGTCCATATATGCTACCTCCATTGCCTCAATACGCTTAACATTGCGGAGCTACATTTCACTCAATTTTCGTCGATCTTTTGGACATTTTTTTAAGTAATTTCCGGGAAAACATCAATTTCGTAATCTATTTTACGATTATGAGAATATTAAATAAACAGTAGTTATATTGATTAAACTGTATATCACTCGGTTCAATATGCAACAAAATTACGGCATTTTTGCTTGAAATCACAAACGGAAGGATACATTTGTAGTGATGTTTATTGGACAAAAGTAGAAATGTACTCTATCAAAATAGAAGAATAATTTGGAAGTTTGATGCATTAAGAACAATTAATTGTAAGATGAACAGATTATGCAGAGATTCTGCTTACTGCTGAATCATAATGCAAAAGTCTTCTATGTACACTTTATTACATTCAAATAATTTATTTATTATTAACTAAAGAATGTGGTAAGCAATTAATTGACTGTTATTTTTTTATATATTTTTTTCGTCAATTACTGTTCAGTGACCGAATTTGTCATGGAAAAAGATAATATAATAGAATCCAACATGAGAAAATCGCACATGTACCAGCACACAAAATCCAGACGTAAAGCAACAATTAGCTAAAAAAATGTAAAGAAAACAGTTAATTGAATACTTTATTGTTTTGAAATTAATTTCCTATCACATTTTTAACCAATACTTAGTTATTTCATGTTAGTTGTTTGGATCGGCGAAAATTGAATCAAATGCAGCTCCGTAATGCTAAACGTACTCGGATGGATCCGCGGTGACGTCATTCCCCCTCCCGCCATCCTCGTGGAGAAAGAATATGCTGATCGAGCGATCTTCTGTAATGGCTCGTGTCCACGGGCAAGTAACTTGCGACACTTTTTGCGGCAAGAGCAACTCGCATTTGCGGGTACACTATCAATAAATTTGCAGCAAATTTCTTTCCGTAAGTCACTCTAGGAAGTGTTTGCAGCATGACTTGCTAAAGTAACTTGCTTTGGCGTTTATACCGTAGTCCCGAGCTTGTTGCAATTTTACACGAGCGGGAGATATTCGGTATTGAAGATGTCGAACAACGAAACGGTAGCTGCTGCAGTCGCTGCAGGGAGAAATAAACATATGTTTACGGCATTCATTTGATAAAATAAATAAAATTCTAAAATCTCGTAGTAACTAAGACTTTTTTCAGAATGACAGGACGATAAGATGCACTTTAACTCTTTCACGTTCAGTGACACTAACGTGAAACTGGAACCGTGCGTGTTAGTGGTGTTACCGGACGTGAAAGTGTTAATATGGTCAGAACCGGGGCATATAAAGATTTGAATTGTCCCGTCATTTCCATTATATTGAATTTGACTTCGGCCACTTTAGTATTTTAACGTAGTTAACGGTAGTATATGTGTACAATACTAATGGAAGGGGGTGTCATCCCCTTATTCTGAAACACATACGAATCTGTTCGCGACTTGCAGCAAGAGTGCCGGGACTGAATCGAAATCGACTCGCGCAACTGCTACTTCTGCAAGCACGAACAGATACACGAGCTTGCGAGCTTGCGGGAGAGGGGAAATTCTTGCGCAAGTTCACTTCTAAAACCGTGCACGCTATGGCAAGAACCGTTCGAGAACAGCTCTCGCACGTGAATACGAGCCATAACGTAGGATAGTTGGGTGGTGTGTGGATACGTACACGCGTACGTTGTTGCTTCCAAATGCCGAACGCAGAGCGTTAAATACGTGTATGGTCCTCACGTACGAAAGAAATGCAACGACTCATGTCAGCGACCATTGTGCTTCCCCCGACTAGCCGCGGTAGCAAGCTACGGCTCCGAGTAAAGCATCGAAGCGGCAAGAAACCCTCCTCTTCTTGGGCAGCCGTGACTGCTCCGAATCATAGATAATAACGTATCGTTTTCAGTCCTACTTAGTTGTCTTCGAATTTCTAATTAATATTAAGCGTTCCTTCCGTAAACGAAGAAATTGAGGCTACGTACTTCTCGGAACGCGATCGGGTATACGCTTGCCGGTGCAACAGGGATGCACAGGGAAGTAATTTGCTTACGTGTGCGTGTCGACCTATCCTTTTTTTGATTACCAGAGTAAACGGAACTGAGGTTGGCAAGACTGTTCCCGGGTGGGATTGGCTCTCACGGGTCGCTGCATGTGTTCCATACGTGGGCACACGATCCGCGTTCGGCACTTCAGAGCAGTAATGTATGCGTGTACGTACATACCACTATTGTTGAACGAGGGTAAGCCGCCATCGGGCACTGCCATGTGGCGCGAGACCGCGATCGCTCGTATCTGCCCTCCCAACTCATTATTGCTAGAATACGAGATATCATTTTCTGAAAATCGGCCTGTCAAGGCCAGGGACAGCCTTACTATTCCGGGCCAATAATTACAGGATAGACACAATATCAAACACATTTACACATCTCTTACACATTTCAAATATCTGCTGATTACTTTGGCTCCAATAACTTGACGAAAAAATAAGTAGCCTGGAAAAATATAGGAGGGGAACTTTTCAATGCTCCAGTTGTCATTTTTCACGTCTTAAGCTTCGGGCACTAATCCCAGATGGCAGACTAGGCGCTACGACATGGCTACCAATCAATGTGATATAAATGAAAATGAAAAAGAAATATAAATCCATACATGAATGAAAAGACGTTCTTAACACGTTCGCTACCAACGCCGCAAATATGTTCCGTGTATCATGGGCTGGAAAATTTCATGCGCTGTGGTACAAGATTTTCTTCTCAAGCGCTGGTAGCGAACGCGTTAATTGAGCTCTGTCTTGATATCATTTAGAAATTTAAAAAATAATGCATTTATAATTACAAGTTTAACTTTAGTTTGTCAAAGCTCAAATCGATACAAGACGATGTTGCCGGCGCTACGTAATCCATAGTTGTTACTATTGCGTAGAACGATATCAATCTCTGGGATCTGGATTTCTCTGGTAGCTCAAAATCCTGCTCGGAAGTTGGATGACAATGAGAAAACGAAACAAAGAAAGAGGACAGAGCGCAATTAAGTACGCAAGCAAATATCCAGGGACAAATCCCAAATCGATACTTAACAACATTGCCAATGCGATCCGTAGTTGTCACTTTGGCGTAAAGCGATAATCGCTAGTATTTCATTTTCTCAAACCCTTTTCTCATTTCCCGTTCGAGCAAGTCCGTGAGTCGTTTAATAAAGAGAATAGGGTCAGACGTTCGAGTCTTCGGTTCGATAAACTTTGATGAGGTTGTAATGCCCAGTGCAGACTGGCAGATATTTATTCAAATAATATGGACCTTCTGTAATAGGTTTCCGAGTAATTAGTTTTAAAAACGTAGCGTACCCTGTATAAAATTATTAAATATTTCTTCTACCGTGAATGACATTACCTAATTTGTAAGACGTTAAGTTTCGAGAAAAAGTCGATCGCCTTTTGGATAATGCATGTTTTTTCGTCTCAATATATTTTTTTTGTATCTTGTATGTTTTATGATATATCAATAATAAACTCAAAATAAATCGGGATAATGAAAAATTAGTCGTATACGACAGGAAAATTAAATTGTAAATGATTTAAACCATGAATTATCTGTGTTGAGAACTGCAATTTCATCAAATTTCACTTGATCCAGACTTAAACGCTTGTTTCTACTTTTCTAAATTGTCGGACACACATCGAGCATGACACGTACCAAATGTGTTTAGATCACGCGCCCATTGCATGGTAAGAAGCGATAAAACGCATTTTGCCAAAATTGGGCAAAAACAATTGGTCTCGCTATCTGTATTAATCGTCTCTATTAAGCTTCGGATACTTTACGCAAGTGGCGCAAAGATCATTCACTACTTTCTGGCTACAGTTATTAGGGCCTTATGAAGGAACATGACTGCTACGATCATGAACTCTTAATATTTCTTCCTACTTAAAATGGGGTTCACTTTTCAGCAGTCCAAAACAGCAGTCCAAAACGGAAAGGTATTTCTCTCTCATTCGTACACCCTCTCACCCACTCACTTACTCTCTCCTCAAACTTAACATTTCTTATATCACATTTCTTAACCAATTGTAACTTATTCCTGCAGTTAACAGCTTGACCATCTCATGTTTGTTATTATCTTCTATGTCTCTTTCGGTTCACATGGTGTGGATATTATTTGATACGTTAACAAAAGCGAATCCCTCACCGTCCAGAGATGAAAAAACTAAGAAACATCCCTAAGTGCAAGGTTGATGATTGTTAAAAAGTCTCTTTTAGTGTAAAACTCTTTAGATCGATATACAATATATATATATATATATGTATATGTATATGTATATGTATATGTATATGTATATGTATATGTATATGTATATATGTATATATGTATATATGTACATTTTTACAGGCATCCTAGAAAAATATATATATCATACACCTTACTTTATGACAATGATATCTCTGGAAATAGTTTTTTCAATCTCTCACATATCTCTTGCCCTTGGTGATTCACGCATTAATTGTAACATGTACCTATGGCTCTATCCATTTCATAAGCAAATACCCACTTCTCAGTCCAATCATTTTGGTTGCAATTAAATGTTTAAATGGCAGGTATAATCTTATTTCATTCGTTTGCCACATGATTCACCGTTTGAGTTTCTAATCCCTCTATCTGATCGGCAATTATAAGTTCTGTTTGCTCTACTTCCTTGTGAATAGTAATCATGATCTTTTCTTCGTTAGATGATTGACTGTCAGAAGAGCCTTCTTGTGTAGACGTAGCTGCCTCCTGAAATAAAAGATATGTCCTTATTGTTAAAATATTTTTATACAAACAGAAAACCTTTAATATTACGTTTACGCAGAGAGAATGAAGACATATTCCCTTATTGAACGTTTAATCATTGAACAATTTTTAAGGGTCCAGTAAAGATGAGTCGGCTATTTTAAATTGAAAACGGCAGAGTTGAAGAAATTCGTGTGAAATTCCGGATCGGCACTCGTCGAAATGAATTATATTTACCAGCAGAGACGAGAATTTGAAGAAACAAGATATTCACAAAATGTGTCAGTTTGTTTTTAATCAGAAATCCAAAATGACAGTTATTTTAATCGTTTCGGTTGTGGGGTGTGGTTGTTTTGGTTATGGAGCATTTAATTGTTTCGGTCATTCGGGGTATCCTATAATAGATAATTAATGTTTCAAGAGACAAAAGAGTGTGGAATTTTTAACTAGAAGTTCCTCTTCCACTTTTACCTCAGAACATTTTTCATCGAGTAATTAACAATTAAAGTTGACCAACGAGATGACGAGTGACTGGAGTACGCAGGGTTGTTGCACATTGCGGGACCCCTCGCTCATGCCTTACGTTCTTCCAGAAACATTTCATTTTAACCCTTTGCGGTCGCATTTTCCCAAGATCAAGAGAATTTTGGTGGCTGAGAGTAGACATACGACCGCAAAGGGTTAATATGTCAAATGATTTCATTCATTCATTTGCCAATTCTCATTGGGTACCGACCGTGTTCTGCTCGCATGTGAAGCATTAGATGGCTTGTTGGCAAAACTACATTACTAGCATTGCTATCTACAGGAATCGTTAGATTCAATTAAGCGTCGGATATTTCATGCAAGTGGCATAAAAGCCACTCACGACTTTCTAACTAGCTTTCCTGGACCCTTAGGGTGAAGTGAAACATGTCGAGAAAGTTGATCGACGGCGGCAAAACAGATTTTTCTAAATACCTACATTACCGATGTTCATATTTACATTGACCATGTCGAATTATATTGAGTTTTGTATTGAATGATATACTCCATATGCTGTTTCCGTACAATAACAGTATAGTCACCTGTAATTTCAATGCCAACTAAATTTTTTCTCCTAGATTTCGTGTGACCTTCGTTTTAGCATAGAAACGCATGCGACACTTTCTTTTTCCTTTATCCCGTTCAAATGCGAGTCTTTACGATTACTAGAGTGTTCTAAATTGTTGTACAATTATTCTGACTCTTTAGTTCCTCATATCAGAGCCTTTAATAATTATATAATGATCGAAATATAAAAGTTGAACGCCACTTTTGTCCGGGTCTAGGCTGTCATCGATTTTTTGTCGAAAATCCAAATTTTGAAAGTGTCGGGATAATTCTTAGTGCTCACGAGTCATGTGTCAAAGTTTCGGACAGTTCGGTCCAATACCCTTAAAAAGTGTCCTCAAATCGACAGATTTTAGGGGGGTTTCACTTCACCTTGAGTGTTAAAAGAAAATGATGTGACATATCGGCTGAAAAGAAGTGTGCCGTTTAAGCACATAGTCCGATTCCTGTTATCTTACCGTGCTGCGTATCTTGGTGTGTGTTTTTATGTGCTTGGTCAAGTGATCGGAGCGCATGAATTTCTTGGTGCACTCAGGACACTGAAATCTCTTCTCGCCGGTATGGGTCCTGCGGTGACGTTGCAGCTCGTCCGATCTCGTGAACTTCTTCCCGCAGAATATCCAGCTGCACACAAAGGGACGTTCACCGGTATGCCATCGTAGGTGAGCGCGCAAGTGACTCGTCTTCCCGTACACTTTGTTGCAACCTGCTATATGACACACGTGCTGTCGCTTGCGAGTCATATCTCTGTTCCTGTGATATAAGTACCAATCAGAGACCGAGTTCAGTGCCCGACTTCAAAGGCGACGCTTTAGGTGCTTTCCGTTTACTGGACCTCCCCGCGAGATTAAGCGTTCCCTTCGCAAGATGGCGCAGCAACTCCCTCGAGTGGCGATATCGGAACACCACGGAGACTAAGGGATCTCGGAACCGCGAATTTTACCCCATGAGCTACCGACGTGTTCATTTTTTCTTTTTTTCTCTTTTATATCTTCGATTCGACTCGTTCAATGTAAGATATGTCACAACGCCATATTGTTTTTTTTTCCCGAGAAGTAGCTAGGATTAAAATAAGTTGTCTCGTTCAAACGAGCATGGTTTTTCCAGTCAATCAATGACCCTTGTAGTTTGAGCGCGTGCGTATCAGGCTGACGGCTTCTTACATCAACTTGACGAAAGAGTGGAAAATTACAATAACACGTTTGTTCGGTAAAAAAAAATCATGTCGCCCATATTTTACGGGACTTTGAAATCGAGTTTGCCTACATTAATTTACCGAAACCTTGTCGCTTTTTAACAAAGTTGGGGTAAAGAATTGTCCGATACTTCAGAGCCTACAAATTTAAATGAGGACCCAATAAACACAATGTGGTGGAATACATGTTGAGAAATGGTGACAGTAATCGTATAAAGTGTGTTACAAAAAACGTGTTTTACCCGTTCCAATGTCCATCCTTTCCACGACAAATTCAACGTTGATATAACTTGTATTATGTGTTTGTTAAACTATCGTATTAGACGTTTACCGTGCACGTCGGTTAAACATAAATTACGTAATTTACGTAAATTAATCATGGATGTAAGAATATATACGGACGCAGCCCAAAGTCCCACCTTAGATCAAGGGGGTGGGGTGGGGTGAGGGGGAAGCTTGTGTGTCGGAAAGGGAGGGGCGTGACGGCGACAATGGTCAACTAATTTTTTTGCCTCCTGATTGGTATGTTCCCTTCTTCATATTTCCTACTTGCTCTAACTTAATTCTCTCTGCTACTCCTCTATGTAAAACATAATTTTTACAGTTATATACGCTAGAAATAGCATATTGTACTTCGTTTACTATTTATGTGTTCACAGTTCACAACGTTCTTTACTCGTTACTCCTAAACCGACAACTAAATCTTAGTTAAACGGGATTTTGGCTGACCAATATTGGTTTGCTACCTTCCCCCCTTACCCGAGCACTCTCCCTTCTGACTTGGGCGCCGTCCACATATTCTTACACGTCCATGAAAATAATCGTTCATCGTTTACTATACGTTCAAATATCGTTAGCACATATCACGTTAAAGTACACGCTTCTTTTCAACTAGGGATCAGGCGTACAATCAACGTTTCTTATAAATGTATATATAACGCAGAGAAAAAATCCTGGGTGAATAAGTATTTAATTTGTACACCCCCCCATTTTCCACAAAACGTGAATTCCACTACTTTGTGTTTTTTGGAGAAGGTTCTTCCTGCCAAAAGAGATAATCCATTCGATAAAGATGTTAAATATTCTTCTGGATAATTTTTCCAATCTTACGTTTAAGTATAAAATCTTAGATTCTGAATTTAAAATGTTATTGACACGAAATTGCACCAATCATTTCCATAAATGTATCCGTTCATCTAGCATAGCAGTGATGCAGCAAATGAAGAGGTACCTCAACGATTTAACATACGTCATCTTTTCACTCGTTAAGTTGGAATAAAAACAAATTATTCTTTTCTCAAATTTCATCCAGTTGGGTGTAATGTTCTCCATTGAAAATGATCTGTTCTAGTCCAAATATATTTGTGTATCAATGCTTGTTTCTTATTTACACCGTTCGTTACACCGTTCGTTACACCATTCGGTGCCCTAGTCCGACAAATACGACGAAATTAATTACGTCGGTAAGCTCACTTGGTAAAAATTCACCGAGAACTCTTTTAAGATATCTTACTTACTTCTTAGTTGTACAGCAGGGATGGACAAACTACTCAGTCAGCAAAAAAATGAGTTTGGAATTATCTGGTCTATTATTCTAATATTCGTATAGTTTATCGTTAATCCTGAGGACAAACAACGAGTACATTTGAAGCTTGTACAATGACTAAAAAATCAACGGTGAGCGGTGCAAAACGTTACAAACAGTTAATTAAATGTAATTAATTATTTCTTATGTGGGCTCTTCTAGAACTACATAACGTACTTGTAATTAAATGACGTAAGGGAGGTGTCCCGGAGTCCGCCCATCCCTGGTGCAAAACTAAGAGAGATCGACGTCGGTACAAACGGAAGGAGCCATCTTTCAACTTTCTTACGGCTCATCTGCTTCCTCCTTTCAGACCATGCTCCCTAGCCCTACTTGAGAGAGACAACAAGAGAAACGTTACATACTGGAGGATCTAAACGTATTACATGTACCATCTGACGTACCTCGACCCGTTGAACCTGATCATTTCATCAACTATTTCCACACAACGGTAACGTAAGCGTTTTACGCGTTATAGCGTGCACTTTTATTTTCTTTATCTTACAGCTTTGATCTGCACAGCGCCACGTTATTTCCATTACTATTTACATTAAAAGAAAAACAAAAAAAAACAAAAACTACGTTTCAAGGTCAACCTTGAGCTGAGAACATGTCCACACCACGAGGTAGTATAAGGAGATGGCAACGCCATGTATCGAATCGTCCCCCCTTTGGGGGTCCAAGATCTCCAGATTTTTTCCGATCCAGCGCCTCCGAGATGAAATTTTGCAATTCCAAATTATCATCCGCTAGCAGGTCTGCTAGTTTTTATAGCATTAAAAACATCACATTCTGTATATCGTACGCGGATTATCGTTTTACTTTGCAGACTTAAAAGCATTTTAGGTCATTTATGTCGATAGGAAACGTTTTGGACACGTAGGACTGGAGTTCCCTCATTTTCCGCAAGTAGCGCCCGCATCGTTAGATCAGCGAAAATCCGAGATCCTGGATTCCGATTCTGGGGCCACTTTTTGTGGAAACGACCACAGGTGTTATGTCTTCTTATACTACTTGATGGTCCACGCCAAAAAATATGCTGCGCAAACTTGAGCGGTGGACAGACAATCACGGATAGTTCCGACAAATGTACAAACATTTGCACTAACCTCATACTTAACGTCTACACGTACCAATCGGACAGATGCAGAACAGATGCAGCGCCGCTGCGCAGACCAAAGTCAGGGCTGTGTGGACCCGCTATTACGACTCCCGGGAATATATCGTCATTTGTTTAATTGTACTACAGGGTGGCCGTAATTTCACCTGACTTGACTAACCCACTAGACTTTTTTTTTTCACGGAAATTATGTATTTAAGAGAAGGAAACCGAGAAATCCACTGAAATGGATGAAACGATAAATGAAAGATGACAATTCTGCAATATATGGTTTATTATACTCTTATAATGAGAAAATGTTTGAGTATTAATTCTTCCGGTACGACCGTCGACTGCTATACTTGAATAAGAGTACGACCTCGATTGGAGTCGTGGGACGATGAGCATTTGATGCTAAACTCTTAAGAGTGTCTTCACGCGTAATATTCCTACATTGCTAACCTGACCGGAGAATGAAAAAACCCATACAACCAAGTAGAAAGGATAAAAAAAGAGAATGGAACCACCGAGACAAACCGCTGTACGGTACCCAGACAGAATTTAATATCGGTTAAGATGATATGAAAGACGCTAAGAAATTGAATCGACGTCGATAAAATAAAATTCATGTACACCCTTTTTGGGGGGTAATGCCCTTTTGACTGTAAGTCAAGTGCCTAATTCGACTGTCTATGCCACGGACAATCGAACGCAGCCCTTCCGGCGTCCTCTCCGCTATGCCTTCCGTCGGCTGTGCTTCAATTAGCTATTGCAGGAAATTTATGCACTCTAGGTAAAACGGAACAGACTTATCGACTCCTTTTGCAGCCAGGATAGCGCTACATAAACCGTGACTACCAGTGCTGTTATACCCTGTATATGTATGGACTGTTAGCAGCTCGTATTTTATCATGCATTGACAGCTCGAAAAGCGAGTCCAACATGAACCATAATGCAGGCCCGAGTCGTGGGCCAAAAAGGAGGGAAATTCAAATATAATTATGTCCATCGAGATACTACGAGATTAACGACAATTGGAATAACTTTACCTCTAGCATATTCACTCGAGTTCAGAGTAAGAAGATGTCTAAAAATGTATAATTTTGATTTTGATTTTGATTGAAAATAATTTTATGTAGTAACTGTGGAATCTTATTTCCAAATGTTATACCTAATTCTTCATATATTTTCAAATTCACTTAAAACCTTCTTGTGGATTTGAAAGGTACGTAACCGAGGCGTAGAGTTGAAGGGTTAAGACTATGTTTGCTGTAATTTGTTTATCATTTTCCAGGATTTTCAGGATTCACCCGAAAAATATCCAAGTGGATTATAAAATCAGGCACCGACCCACCCCGTTCACGCGTCAAATTGTTTCTCTCGGAAGCAAATGTGCTACTTTCGCGTCGAGATGCGCCACGATGACGTAACGCCACGTGGGAAACGCGTATGCTCGTATGCGACACCGTCCGGATGTACGACCGTGCGCAGAGATGCATCAGTAAATCGAAAGCACCCACCAACGGCGCGTTTCTATCACGCAGGACCCTCCTCTTTTCTCAAAGTCCGCAATTTCAACGATCAATGTACATTCCAGACCCACCCTTCGCTCTCGGCCGGTCTCGGCCGGTCTCGGCCGGTCTCGATTCTCATCGACGATCGCCAGTGATCATTCCTCTCGTTAAAATCACTCGTCTCGCCTCGCGGCAAATCCCGGCAACGATCTCCGAGAACAACGCAGGAGTCCGGGGCCAACTAACCTGTCTCCGTCCCCGCAGTTCGGGCAGGTGCAGGCGACTCGCCTGCGATGCTGCTTGCTGGAGTCCATCTCGGTCGAGTTGGCCTGGGCGTTGGCCTGGTGCTGCATGGTGGAGGGCGCCGTCGCCGCCGCGGCCGGCATCGGCCCGTTCGACTGCACGGTCTGGAGGATCTGCCACTTGGTCGGGTCGGCCGAGTCCAGGTGGACGGCCGGACCGGCCACGATGGACGCACCCGCCCCGGTGGGCAGCGTCTGGACGGTGGCGGGCTGCAGCGCGCTCGCCGGGATCACTTGGACGTTACCCAGACCCGGGATGTTCTGCACCGGAATCGAGTGCAGGAAACCGTTGGCCGTGCCCATTCCCGGTTGGAACTGCACGATCCCACCTCCGCCCCCGACGTTCACTCCCCGCACCATGCCACCCTGCTGGGTGGCCAGGTTCGGCAAAGCCGAGGCGGGGATCAGGGTGAGCTGCTGGCCCTGAGCTCCTGGGGAACAGAGAGACGGCAGCGCGGTGATAAGCGGCCATCATTTCTGGGAGACGATGACATCGTAAAAGTGCAAATATCATTTTTTCAAATGGAAATGATCGGACTAACCCGTCCAGAAAATGCCTCCACGATAGCTAGGCGCTAGTCAGGACACCAGTACAGGGTCTATATCGGAATGTCACCCTTTGTTCCAGAGGATCCAGCTAGGATAGTCTAGATTGGTCCGATAGAGGATGTCAAGCTTGAGCCTGTACTGGGTATTTTAAATTGGAACTAGTCATACCGTTGCCCAAGCAACAATTTTTCATTCATCCAATTTAAAATCACTTTTTACTTCTTTTTTTACAATTACTATTTGATACTCATTATTGGTGACAATACATCGATCTTTTTGTCGGAAAAAATTCCAAGTCGGTAGATGGACTGAACTCGCGTCCTTCCAGTACTGGTCTGGCACTCTATCCGCAAAACATTTTAGGCATACGAACTTAACTCCTCTTATAAGCTCAATTATTACTTTATGGGTGTGTTATCGTGAAAATTTTAGTTTGCACGTAACACCCAATACGCGTATCTGGCAAAAGTAACTGATTTCAGTGTTTTTATGCGATTAATCGCCACTATATGGATATGACTTTGCAAAATATACTTTTCCAATTGGATGTATTTGACGCAAGTTTTTCTTTTACACCGACGGCGTTTTTGTGGTGATTTCACATCTTTTTGTCGACCCGCCAAGCAGTCTTCGATAAGGAATCACTTAGCATTAACATGTTATTTTATACGGAGATGTTTTTTGAAGTTTTAATTACTGTGTTTGCCCACTTTACAAATTGTTAGGCCAACAGTGATATTGTCAATTTTCATGTATGCAAAATTGATCTCTGAACACTTTTTTTTTTAACAAATTATGAAATATACAATTAAATTTTGTTTTCCATATTATTTCTCGTAAGAAAGGAAATTGATGGGTACGTTTACTGTAAATTGTCGTCTTTCTTCTCTGTTAAATGATTATTTCCTCACTCGACATGTGGTCCCTGGTCCAGATCCGAGTGTGTCAAAGTTTGAGACAGTTTTTTTGTACATACTTGAGAAAGTGTAGAGAAGTTAAGATATTGGTAAAGAAGAAAACATACCGGTAATCGTGATAGGCTGCATAGCGGACTGGGTCGGTTGGGGAGCAATATGAATAACTTGACCGCTAGTCAATTGACTGGCGTCTATGCTGGTCAGTTTAATATCACCTTCCACTGCTTCGGGCGGCCTCGTTAAAGCCGATAACGTTTGTACATCTATTTTTTGGCCATCCTTCGTTGTTAACACACTCGCGCTCCCTCCTACCGATCTACTCAGAGATCCGATTCCGACAACCTGTTGAACATAATCATCGGATTAATGATTTGTTAAGAAATTCTTAAAACTACTTTTACGTAGTTGCTTTCATATTTCATTTATAACATTTCTTAACTCTATAAAACCCTACGTTTTTGGATTCGTTCTATTCATTACTAGACTCTCACAATTAACCCTTTCGATATGTCTGTGCCTTCCACCAGGTTGATTTAGCTGTGCGAATACTCAAATCGCGAATACTGCGCTACAAGTACGAATCGATTACGATTAAAGCCGCGTACACATCGCGCGTACACACTGCGTTTGATTTCGTTTATAAATTAACATTTAAACGACCGCTCACGTGATTTCTCATGTTTCAATGCTGAGACGTAAAAGACTGGCAACGAGATTTCTCGTTTTTATCTCTTGTCACCGATCTTAGAGTAAGTATACGGGAAATAATATGCGATCATTTAAGTGTTAATTAGTTGATCTAATTTGTGAATTGTTAGACGTATCACAATTTCATCGGCAAATATCTTTTATCTTATAAAAAAATCCTTCGGATATTTCTGGTGAATTTCTCGTCCCACGATTTTAAATGACCGAATACTTTGTACAGGTCCTTCGATATCTCGATTTTGAGCATACTACTCTCGGTTTTACCTGAACGTTGCTCGGAGCTGAAACTGTTGTACTCCAAGTTGACACGGTTGGTGCCGGAGTGGAGGACGAGGGCTGTTGACTCTGTTGAACTTGTGGAACTTGTTGCTGCTGTTGTTGCATCACTTGTTGCACAGCCTGCTGCTGCTGCTGCTGTTGCTGCTGTTGCTGTTGCTGTTGCTGCTGCTGCTGCTGCTGCTGCTGCTGCTGCTGCTGCTGCTGCTGCTGCTGCGTTTGAGTCTGCACCACTTGCTGTTGTTGCTGCTGCACCGATTGCAGGACCTGCTGCTGCGGCTGCTGTTGAGCAACTTGTTGCACTACTTGCTGGTGCGCCTGTTGTTGCGCCACTTGTTGACCCTGCAATTAGGTCGTGTCTCGAGAATTTCGACGATTTAAGGCGGTATGAAAAGCGCTGAAAAATTTCATCAACGTGGATAAATTAACATTCATCTATACCCTTTTTGGTGATAAAGCCATTTGGAATTCTCAAGTGGCACATAAACTGGCGGCGCGCCACGTTACCAACATTTGTATTTATGTTGACGCTTGTTACACTCTACGTTGAAAATTATAGGAGACCAGGTGTTTCATATGTCATTTTAGTAGAATAATTATACAGAAATTGAAGTGAAATTTAAAATCCCGTGGATTCGTGATCTTTGATACTCTAATGGAACAATGGCGCTATCCGTGACGTTACCTGCAATTCAATTTGTCCTCCAAAAACACGTGCTATCCATGGGACAAGCCAGCATTCTCTTACAATCGTTTGTGGAAGTAATTCCCATTTTTTCCCTTCTGATCTGTAATATTCTATTTTTCTTGTATTCTAAATTATTCGAGCAAGGTCCTAGAACTCTTCATTTTCGAGTTTAAGCCTTCAAAAATCGTAAAATATAAAATACGTACACGGACGATATCATGTTGGTTTTAGTCCATGACGAATAAATTTTGTTTATAAAAAATGAAATTTCATGAATTTCAAGACTTATCTTAGGGCGTCCATATTTACGTGGTAAAATTTGAAATGAATCGGTACACCCAATTCGGAGAATATTATTCATAAACGATGTGACCTCTCAGAGATAAATAGGCTAACCATTTCATGTCACCTTAAAGAGTGATGATCTAGTTGGAATTTATATGCAGTGAAATGTTCTTAATTACAAAACTACTAATTAAAACAATTTCAAGGACCATTATAATTTTGACATAAATAGGGGGGAATCTTAGTCTGAGCCGAACCGAGCTGAGCTAAATTAATTGTGAATAAAGGTTAAAGATTATTATGAGAAACCTAAATATGGAAATGTACATATTGAAGTATGCTAGAAGTATGATAAACATCTACTTAATAAACATATTGCTCATTGTTTACCTGTAAACCCTGAAGTTGTGGAAGATTGGCAATTTGTACCTGTTGAATCTGACCGTTGGGGGTGATGATCTGCGCCATTTGTGGTATTTGCTGAAATAAAGATATTAAAGTATATAATCAATATATTACCACTTTTTTCTTTCACCTTCAGCGAAACAATATTGGATCGATATAACTTCAGATTAAGCGGTTACCCGCACTTATAATGAGTGAAAAAATAAATTTTGCAAAATTACATTCTCTTTGAGTATATTATCTTGAAAATGACTTCTTGGGCGCCCCATTCACAATGTGATCAACCAATGAAGATACAGAAGTATAATCCATGCGATTGTGTAAACTATATAAACGATGTAACAAACGAAGATCTGCAGGAATTCACACATGAACGTAAGTTCTTGCCGACAAGAAGTTTTAGCAGCAATTAGGCCTATATATGAAGATTTGAGCGGTAACGTTTTATTGGAAAAATGTGCGAACGTTTTTGTCAAAATCTATGGATGCGTACATTATTAAATACAGAAGAGGTTAAACAAAAGAATACACATACTTTTGAATTGAAAATGTTGAAAATATCAGCATTTTTCCTACTCACAAGTGCGAGTAACCCCTTCACAAACAACGTACCTGCGTAATCTGAGGTATCATTTGAGTAGTAGACATGTTGAAGACACCGGAGAGTGCTTGGACAGGAAAATGCACCGTCTGGTACACCGTCTGTCCATTTCCAGCAGTTACTGGAACTTGTACAGGGACAGTTTGCTGTACGTGTTGCACCGGGAACTGAAGTGGTCGAACTTGAACACTCTGCCCTGAAACGTCCTTTCAATTAAAACCCACGTAACATTTTACCAAAGGTACTTAACGATTATTATAATAAAAGTAAGGTATAATTTCATACCGTTCATACGATAATGATTCCATATAATTATATAATGAACCATGTGTCCACATTATAATGCAGATAATTTTGCAAAACAATATCTCTTTAATTAAGGTGCATTAACATACCTGATGGAAGCTGAACGGTCTGTCCTCCAAGATTCTGAATAATCGACGTTGGGAAGACACTCGGTGCACGAATCAGACTAACGGGCTGTGGGGTGAGAACGGTCTGACCATTAGGCAGTTGCACTTGCTGGCTTGCGAGTTGCACTTGTTGACCGCCCGCAGTAGCAAATTGCATTGTCGGTTGACCCTGGTGATGGCCACTGGACATCGCCGAAGAAGGTATAAAAAGGGCCTCCTGGCCGTCGATGTTCACCGTTTGCATCTGCGGAATTATGCTGTAGCCCACGTGTTGTTGCTGTGGCTGCTGCTGGTGCTGAGTCTGTTGCTGCTGCGATTGTTGCTGTTGATGTTGCTGAAGCGCTGCTTGCGCTTGGCTTGCACCAACCAGCTGTGCACTCTGGGCGACAAAAAACAATGTTCAACGATACTTATTAAGTATCACATCGTATGATAAAAATGTTTCTTGAATACTGAAAAGCCATAAAGACATAAAGTAAATGTACACAACACGAGCACAGTTGAAATTTGTCCCTTATTTCGTACCGTATGAAAACTGTTACTCGATTGAAAACGCTTTGCAAATTTGTTAAAAACTCACTTGTAAAAATTGTTGGGGCAAAGCTTGCACCGAAATAGTCTGTGCTCTCTGTTGGTCATGTTGTTGTTGGGTTTGTAAAGGCACAAAATTTTGCAACTGTTGCAAAGTAATGACTTGTGGCTGCTGTTGTTGAGCTTGCTGCTGCTGCTGCTGCTGCTGCTGCTGCTGCTGCTGTTGCTGATGTTGCTGCTGCTGCTGCTGCTGCTGCTGAATATGCTGCTGCTGCTGCTGCTGCTGCTGCTGTTGCTGATGTTGCTGCTGCTGCTGCTGCTGCTGCTGAATATCTTGCTGCTGCTGCTGCTGCTGTTGGACCACCTGATGCTGCTGTTGTAATTGCTGTACGACATTAGCATTTAAGAAACGCATTTGAGACTGGTTTGCCTGCTGTTGCTGATCTAGTTGTTGGTCTGCTGTTTCTTGTTGCGGTTGTTGGGGTTGCAACAGATCCTGCTGCTCGTCAATCTCTTCCTATGCATTAATTATAACACTTTTATTTTGTTAATAGTTAATTAAGGTAAAGATATTTAAAAATGTATGACATATTTCTCAGACAAACATGACTGTTATATTACTAGAACATAAACTATGTTATATTTTTGCATCTAAAAGTAAGTATAAATGTAAAGTTACCTTCATCTCGTTTCTGCCGTCTACGCTTCGTTTCATTATGCATAAATCGATAGAGTGTACTTTAATGTACTACTGTTAATAAACAATTAACATACTTCGTTCATTTTGCCAAATACTGCGGCCTTGTATTAATGTGATTTAATTTTATTTGATCAAATATTTGTTGTTAAGTGCATTTCTTAAAGGAAGCTGTGCCTATATCGGTACGATAAACATTCAATAAGTTTCTACGGGAAAAAATCTCCGTAGTTCGGTTCTTTGGACTTTTCTCCACTTTCGTTGCCAAGTAACATAGTAACTAAGTCCCAGTGGTCCATCAGAGGTCAAATTTCACTACTGCATCTCGGTTTTGAGATTCTCATCTTGGAAACATAGCCACATATTGAAACCCTGAAAAATAAAAGCAGATAAAAAGTTAATCCGATATAAGTAAATTGAAAAGGAAAAGCAATACTTGGTAATTCATAAAATCAAATTACACTTTGTAGTTTGTGACAAAATAGTCTGGACAACACCTCATATATTTCTTTTACTTATATTTATAATTTGACTCAAAGCATTCTAGCATCGTTTTTCCAATAAAAATAGTCTCTTGTTTTACTTATTATCTCATATTTGATTCATATCAGTTACTACTGAGAAAAGTTGTACAAAAATTTGTAAAAGATACACGACGATTAATTATTTCTTATTGGAATCAGTTTTCTCTACGCTGTAATGAATATATAACAAATGGATACTTAGCGTATAAAAAAAAAATTAATTGCATGCCTCTTAACGAAACATATATACCTAGTGCTATATATGCTACATAATGCTATATATATAATAACCACATTCTATAGCAGAAAATAAAAATAATATGTAGGTTTATAATTCTTATTAATCGGTTTTTACAGTTTACGAATAACAGGATTTTATTAAATAATTTGAATTATTTTTCTGTCACATACCGTGGAACTTTAACGGGTGTATTGAATTCAGTGCCAAAAGGGGCCAAAGTTTCCGTCAGAAACATTTCTATTCTATATGATTAATAAGGGCAGTTTGCAAATACTGCATCGAATGACTTTATAGTAAACCTTGCGAGATGCTTCTCTTAAAATGAAGTATTGTCCGCTAAATATAACCAATAGCTACACTTTTAGTTCGCAGGTACGCATTAAAATCCCTCCGTTTCTTTCAATGTATTTTCAGTCACCGTTAACTCTATGTGTTCCCATAAAATTAAGAGAAAGCAGAAACCAAAACCTCTTCTTTCCTTTTCTGGATACCATTAACATAGTTAATCCCAACAATTAAAAGCTCCAAAAAATCGAACGATCACAAATTTTTTTATTTTAGGTTAATTATTATTGAATCATCGACATTGTTTTCGGCCGAATATTTGAAACAGAGAAACTCATAGAATTTACATATTGTTTTTTCAAGTTAAGTTTCAAGTTAATCAGGTTAACACCAACGTTTTCACTGAAAAAAAAACCCTTAACCTAGCTTTATTTTTGCTTTTAGGTTAACATCGACCAAAACTAGCGACGTTCTCGCTGGGGAGAACTCGAAGACAAATCGAGGCTCCGAAAACCGTGCAGTTCCATCTGTCCTTCACCGTACAATCGAGAATATCAGTCACGACCCACGCGAGCGAGCGAGTTGGCTCGACTGCCGGGCACACGGTCGCGAGAGAGACGGCGAGAGAGACGGCGAGAGGGCGGAGCGAATCTGGCCCTGGCACGGTCGCTCTCCTGCTTCTGCTTCGACCTGGGAATTCCCACCTCGGAGGCAAAGAAATCCGAGTCCGTGGAAATTCGCCGCCTACCCCCGTCCCCCCCATTGCCCCCCGGAAAAAAGACTCGCGAGCATAGGTTATGTTCTACGGCGGAAGTTGGGTCGAGAGGAATCAACAAGACTGCGCGCGCGAGGAGAGCCCACGGAAGGGCGGATGTCTCGCGTCCCAGAAACCGCCCAGTTTCCCACATTTCCCTCACTTTCCGAAGATGCCTCGCCGTTCTTCTCACCTTTCCTCTTGCCGCCTTCTTCCACTAAGCCGAGCCGTTATTACGCGTTCCCGTACTTATTTGCGCACTCGTCGGCACGCGAGAGCCATCGGTCTCGGGACGCGAAAAGTAGCACTGCCGCTCCGCCCTACCTTTCCCGAGAGGTTATGTTTCTCGGCTGGCGCCCGTCAAAGACGAGGGACCGACGAGACGAAGCCGGGGCGCGAACAGGCGCGAATGGGTGGGAAACGGGCACGGCTTGTTCGATATCGGCACGTGCAACACGACCACTCTGAAGACAAAGAAGGCCTTAGGGTCCTCCTCGGGGTCCCGTTTCAGGACCGCCTCTCTACGCCCCTGCGCTCCACCCGTCGCGAGAGAGCGGCGCAACGAAAGGCGACGAGGCCAGAGGGGCCGAGCGCTTGCCTGGGGGAGAGCGGCGTTGCCGGATCGCGTGCCGGACGCTTCCCCTGACGCGCCGTTCTTCCTGCGTCGCTCTGGCGCCTCTTGCCGCCTCTTGCCGCCTCTTGCCGCCTCTTGCCGCCTCTTGCCGCCTCTTGCCGCCTCTTGCCGCCTCTTGCCGCCTCTTGCCGCCTCTTGCCGCCTCTTGCCGCCTCTTGCCGCCTCTTGCCGCCTCTTGCCGCCTCTTGCCGCCTCTTGCCGCCTCTCGCTACCGATCCGCGAGACCAGTGCCGGCCTGAATTTTACATTTTCATTCGCCGATCTCTCAAGTGCAAGGATCGTAGGCGCGTATCTTGAAGAAATTAAGGGGGGTGGTGAGATTCCAGGCTATTATAACCGGGTATTATGTTTCTTATGAATGACTGAAAATCAGACAAGTCTTTTTATGTTAAATTCAATTTCTTTTACGAGTTTCAAATGTTACGTGTGCGCGCTAATTTTCACTTCCACTTTATACTTTGGAGGACGAAGCGAGGAACTTTGGACCCCCAAAATCTTTTTTTTTTTCTGATAAGTTCGAAATTAATTTGCTCCTAATATTAGAAAATGAACATTAAATCTATATGAAATACCCGTTAAAATTTCAAAAGAAGAAATTAAAGATTATTGGTATTCGGCATGAGAAAGTGCTCGAATCATTAGCGTTCAATTTTAAATTATTAGTTAACAAAATTCTAGATTTAGATAAAAATCTGGTATTCCATCGCTGCATGCCTTGAAACGAATTTTAATATCTTATTAGCTTTAGGAAGGTAATGGAGAATTAAACAGACATTTTTTAACCAGATATCGCTCGTTTAAATGGAATTTTACTTATCAATTTGTTCTTGATCGTCTGTTTCCAACAGAGGTTTTAAACATTTAAACAATTCTTTAAATTAATGTTCGGATAGGGTAAATATTGAACTTCCAGGAACGGAGTTTAGAACTTTAGGGCTAATGGTAGGTAGAAAATGTATGTTATTAATTAGTAACTAGCACAACAATTACTGTTATTTTTTACAATAACCCAAGTCTTTCTTCGAATTAGCTTTATGCCGAAGTGCATCTTACACATTATTGAAAACAAGAACAGGATAGCATATTTACATGCGTTGAGACCCGGACCCGACATTACAACGCGAAATCTCTCACTTAATTTGGACAACCAGCACAAAATTAAAACGTTGAGAACTTGATAACAAAGGATTGCCTAGCTATCACTTGCGCTGAAAGTGAAACTTTTTTTTCACTTTAAATGTCAATAATTAACAGAAAATAACGCGCTAACCACCAATGAAAACATTTACGCAAATTATCTCAATATTAACACACAATATTGAATATAAATACTAATTTACTGCAAAAATAAAATGTACACAAATTGTGTAAATACTAAAAAACAAACATAAATGGTAATGAAATGTAGAAAGAAAAAGAAAAGTATTCTAAAACGGGCCCATTTCCATCATGCGAATGTGGCAGTGGCAACGCTACAACCGATCGGATCAGTTCCGACAGAAACAACCGTATTACTTCTTGTGAACGTATCTATCTTGCACCCAAATTTGACCCGATTTGATTCAACTGATCTAGGGTAGGGTGGTAGTAGGGCATAAAAAGTAATACGTTTGTTTCCGTTGGAACTGCCCTGGGACGGCCTGGTTCGATCCGATCGACCGAATGTAGCCACAGTTTTACCCGGCTTTCGGCCCATAACTTTCACTTGAGAAAAATAAATAAGGGTTTCGCTTTGCAATACCCTCCTAATTTTTGAACGCGTAAACACGCGCTACCGTGACACGAGAGCTTTCACTTGAAAAATCACGTTTGCGGCTCCCAGAGCGAAACCCAGAGCGTCACAAACGTCTACGGACGATTCAATTTCGGCGCCAAGCGACGATTCGATTGGAGTCGGCGATTCGGCAACACCGTGGAGAGCGGCACTCGACCGCCGCGTTGCCAGGGAACAAAGGGCACGAGGCGACCCAGAGGGGGAGCTCTCTCTCTCTCCTCGGTCGCGTCGGGTCGGTTCCGCGTTCCAGGTGCCGTCGCACCCGCCCATCCTTCCCCCCGCGGCCGAGCTCTTGGGCGTCTGGCGCGCGCAGCGCCCTCTGCCGTGGCCCGACCCGAGCTCGCCTCCACCCACTTGGCCGGAGGACTCCACCTAACGGGTGCAACGCACGAGGTCGTCACGTGCTCTTCCCCGAGGTTCTCACCTCCGGCAGAGCCCGGAGCGCGCCAAGGTGACTCCGAAAGCGCAGCCGACGCGATCGATACCCACCGATTGCATCGCTGATACCGGCGCGTTCCGGCCACCGGACGCCACCTATTGGTCCGGCGTCAGCTGAACCCGCTCGAGGCCACTGTGGCCGGTCGAGCCGCACTGCGCGGCGCGCGCCCGCCTCGTCGGACTCGCGTCCGGAACAGTTCGGAATGTTTCGGAGCGGCGACGGCTGCGCCTAGCCGCGGCTGTCGGAAGCACTCGCGAAGGCGATCGCGAACCTTGCAGCCGACCGACGCGGGACAGACTGGGACGGACTGGGACGGACTGACGCAGACTGACGCAGACTGACGCGCCGTCGAGCGAGCGCCCACCGTCGCGTCGCGAGGGGGCAGGGATGCGGGGCGGTGAGCGAGGCGGCGAGCTCGTTTCTCCTGGCCCGGCTCGCAAGGGGCGAAGGGAAACGGCCGGTCCCCGATTGGTCGACACCCGTTAGCGCGGCCGCTCGGCCAGTGTTCGGGACGCAGGGGCGTACGCAGGGGCTGCTGGACGCCCACCCCGTTTCGGAGGGGCCAGCGCTTCTCCCCCGATGGACTATTTCCGCCTCCTCCCCGCCCGGCCCACTCGTGCCGTTTCGCGAAAAACGACGCGACCCTCGCGGGGCGCGTCTCACGTGGCGGGATCGGCGGTCTCTGCTCCTGCTACTCCACGTCCCACAAGGGATCGAGTAGCCAAATATAGACGAAAATGGTTCTTTTTTGGATTCACGTCCCGTTACGAACATTGACTACACCGTTAAACGATGTAACGCTTTAATCACATTTTCTAGAAATATGTGTTATACATTTGTAGCATGGCCAAATTTTCAATTAAAAAAGAATGATTGATACATTTATGTACTATCTTTATGACATATGATTAAATGTATTTTAATTTTCCGACACAATTTTACAAAATTACCACATGTTATAAAATTATAAATTTATTTAAAAATTTATAATGTACGTATCTTAATTCACTTTTAAAACATCAAATTTACAATTTCATTGCAGAATTGTGTACTAAATGTGTATGAATTTACAAGTATTTTTAAATATAAGCAAATTCTAATACGTAACCTAGGTTATTCCAAATAGATGTATCTGCGATTTCATATCACCTTTCTTAACTGCGGCGTAGCAGCCGTACCGACGTTCTCTCCGCTATGCCTTCCGTTGAGGATCGCGATTGTGCGGCTGTGCTTCAATTAGTTATTGCAAGCAATTTATGCATTGCCGAAAAAAAAAAATAGTACAGGCCTTTTCGACTCCTTTTTCAACAGATAGCGCTGTATAAACCATGACTACGATTTGTTACACCCTGTACAGTCAAAGCATGTAACGTACTTCAGGGTAAAGTAGACCACCATAACCCTTAAAGGCTTGTAAAATGCTGAAATATTAAGTATTTTGAGAAGGAAAAATGAGCAATATATGCGTGAACAATGTTCATTTCAATCACAATCCATAGAAATGAAATACAATTGTAAGTAAAAACGTAATTAAAAAATTGTAGTATGACGCAACTGGGCCTTGTTTCTCGCACGTGTGGTTAATAGAGTCCATGGACGCCAATACTATGATCCAACTGACTTTGCACATTAGTTTGCACGGTTAGGGCATGTTATGTCACCCATATCCTCTTTGGTTATCCCCAGGCACGTAAAGTCATTTCTTGTATAGGGTACATTGTCGCAAATCGGTCACCCTATTTACTTGGCAAAGGCTACAGTACCAATTCTCGATCTGCTTTCGGATGTCAGATTTCGTTTTTCTTGACGTAT